AATCAAGACGTGGTCGAATAAATTTTTGAAACATTGCAATTAAAATCTACTCTACTAGTTAAATCATTTTCTAAATATTCATTAGTGTTGATTTCTAAAATTCTTTCAAATAGTTGTTTTGACATTTCTTCTAGAGTTAAAAGTTCTACCTCTGTGTTAGATTGATTAGATTGTTTATATTGCAAAGTAGCTTTATGATGACATATATTACAAGTTTTAATTTGCTGAGTATTTTCATTAATGAAAGCTTCTAGAGGTATTTTTTTTTTGACATTTTTTACATTTTTGTAAATTACCAGTAGTTACAATATCCATATTGAAAGTGGAAAAGCGAAACTTTAATTAATTATTATTTATGTAAATTACGTAACTCTTTAATCTCAATCATGTGATATGTGATGATCACATGATTTACGCAGAATTTTTGAGGTGGTTATTAAAAAAAAGTGGCAGACACGTGACTGCATTTTATTCATCACAACCGTCACACCCACCGTGTTTCCACTTTTTATATGAGGGACTTTGTTTTCGAGTAAGTAAAACTTATTCGTCACACCTTATTCATCACAGTCTATTTTCACGTGTTAGTGCATAACTCCGTAATGCGGGCCAAAAGTCACGTATCTGTCACTTTTTTTTTGCCATGGCTAGGGTACCTTATAAAGTCCTATTCTTCGCTCGCAACGGAAAAAAAATAAATTGCTCTTCTGAGTTTCTTCATTCTGTAATCGTAAAAAATAAAAAAAAATCAAACTTATATAATAGCAATCATAGTATGCAGTATGTTCCGCTTTTTTTAAAAAATAATTTATGATTATATATGCTTAAATTCTCTCTTGCTTCCATTGTATACAGTAAAAAGACAAGGAATTGAAAAAACGAAAATACTGTTAATAGTTTACCTTTGGTCAGTCAAACTAACATAAATAGAGTTATCTAGTATATACAAGAAATCCCGTTCTACGTCCTCATGTAATCCCTTTCCTCAAATATTACTCTAAACAATTAAAATTCAAGGACGTGAGGTGACATGACGGGATTTATTGTATATATTAGATAATTTCTTTGATTAAATCAAAAAAAAGGTAAATATTATTGATTTTACGATAAATTATTAAATTTTATTGATATCTTTTTTATAAATTAGATATTAGATAGTAAAGAAATGATGATTAACAGCATTTGCGGTATATACGATTCTTATCACAAGGTATTTTTTATTAATCTCAGTTTATTATATATAAAATTCTTTTGTTAAATCTAGATATCGATTATAGTGGTATCCGTCAAAGTACGAACTACTGGTGAATCATTTCGTTCTTTTTTTTCTTTTACGAAGTATGAACCAATTTGTAATTTTTTTTTGTTAATTTTATAATTTGTAATAAAATTATATTCATTGTTAGTATTTTTTTTTTTTCGAAATAATACGCGCGTTCGAAGATTTGCATCGATTTTCGAGGAAATAAAATCAACATTTGACCCGAATTATATTTTTAAATTCATTATTCATTTGTATACATGTTTAGTTATCTTTGGCAAAACTTTCAAAACTTAAAATGCCAGTCAAAATCTTATTTAAACAAGGAAAAAATATTATATATATTTATTTTTAAGAAATAAAAGAAATAAAGAATTTATTACAGGCAGAAAAAGCATCTTGCACTCGATTTAATATTATAAAGTGGTATAGTTAAAGTAGCAAAAAGTAGACGAATATTTAATATAAATGATAAGAAAAGACGAAAAATGAATAAAAGCGAAAGAAACTTTTCGAAGATATTACAAAGATATCACACGCGCGAAAAAATTAAATAAATTAAGATTAAACGAACAATTATCCAAAAGTAATAAAAAGATAAAAAAATTCGTTAACCTATTAAAACTATTATTCCAAGTTGCAAAAAAAATATGGCAAATTTCAAAAACCTTAATTTTTTTTTTTTTTTTATAAAAAAAGAAATAAACCTTAATTGGCGGAGGCCGGGATTTCCACCACCGAGGAAAGTGGCGCACAGACCATGTTGTTAACTGAAAATGGCTATGCCTCAATTACCTCGATGGTTCCATAGAATATTATTTGATTTATGTATGGCAAGATAATCATGAACACGGGTTGTAATATACGATAATGGATAATACGCGAAGTTTATAATACACGATAAATATTAGTGGCGGTTGTGGCGGTTATATCGGTTTTGTCGATTGTGATAATTTAAAGATGATGATTTTGATAATTTAAGGGAGTATTTAAGGGAAGTTAAAAATGCCGATAATATTTGTGGGTGAAAAA